TCCGCTGTGCTGCTCCCTCCTGGGTTCCTGCAGGTGTTAATATTCTCCCAGCCAGGCTGAGAGCCTCGTGCTAGGCAGACTGCAGGCCAGTAATTAGGTTAACTTCCCTCCTGCCAGGGACAGGGGCAGGCGGGCTGGTGGGGCTGGGTAGGGGTGATTGGAAATGGAAATGCTCTTTTCATGGGCTGGGGTGATTTTGTGTGTGAGTGTGTGTGTTGCGTGGTGTGTGTGATATGTAATGTGCTTATGTTTGTATGGGGTGGTACACGTAGTATGTGTATATGATATGTGGTGTGTGTATATGAAGCGCCTGTTTGCATCACAGAGCATCTTGTTCTCGCCCAGAAACTTCCACGGCTGCCATCTCCTAGCATGCCTGTGAGGAGGCCTCTGTCACAAACAGGAAAGCAGAGAGGAACTGCCCAGCCAACCCCACCCCAGTATGAGCCCAGTGCAGCTTTAGCTGCCTTTACGGGACAGTTTCTCTGTCTTAGGCACCTACTGGGCATGGGGATGTGGGGACAATTAGCAACTGAGGCTCAAGTCAAGTGACCTTGCCAGCAGTGATTGGTGGGTGGGACCTGAGTCCTCACAGAAGCCTGAGCAGACACCAGCCCAAGGTGCCTTCCAGAGGGGAGGAGCAAGGTCATCGGCTCCACTGTTGGGAGGGAAGGACTGTGGCAGAGGCCACAGGAGAGGGGGGAGAGTGCTGGCACGGAAGCAGAGGCCACGACCGGTGATTGGTGCCAGGCAAGGTCTCCCTAACGGGCCCTGACGTGACTTAGACACATTTATTGCGATGTGTGTTTAAAGGGTAGTAACAGTACATTCTGGCCTGCATTGCTCATACAGGCTGAGTACAAACAGAAGCTGATTTAAAGAGAAAGCTAAATAGCCGTATAGAAGGTATTCAGAGGAGCAAAACATGAAGATAGAACACAAACTGTGGCACCATGCTTCATTATAAATTGAACATCATGCTTCCCAGTTCAACAGAACCTTCCAGAAGGAAGAGTCCAGAAGGCTGGAGTAGTCCTGAAGGACAGCCTAGAAGATGAGGCTGCTGAAGGCCAACAAGAGCTCACCTCCCGCTGTGCCCTGGCCAGGCAGCTCAGTTCTCTCTCCCTCTCCCTTCCTCTCTGTAAAAAATCAATAAAATATATTTTTTTAAAAAAATTGAACATCATGCTTCCCAGTTCAATAGAACCTTCCAGAAGGAAGAGTCCAAAAGGCTGGAGTAGTCCTGAAGGACAGCCTAGAAGATGAGGCTGCTGAAGGCCAACAAGAGCTCACCTCCCGCTGTGCCCTGGCCAGGCAGCTCAGTTGGTTAGAGCGTCGTCGTACAAACACACCAAGGTTGCAGGTTTGATCCCCAGTCAGGGCACATACAGGAGGCAACCAATGAATGCATAAATAAGTGGAACGACAAATCTCTCTCTCTCTCCCTCTCTCTCTCTCCCCCCCCTCCCTTTCTTCCTCTCTCTCTCTCTCTCTCAAAACCAGTCAATAAAATAAAATAAAAAAGAGTTCACCTCACTCTATACCTCCCCACCCCTCCAGGTCCCCAAGGCTGTAGAGCAGTGATGGTGAACCTTTTGAGCTCGGCGTGCCAGCATTTTGAAAAACCCTAACTTAACTCTGGTGCCGTGTCACATATAGAAATTTTTTGATATTTGCAACCATAGTAAAACAAAGACTTATATCTTTGATATTTATTTTATATATTTAAATGCCATTTAACAAAGAAATATCAACCAAAAAAATGAGTTTGCGTGTCACCTCTGACACGCGTGTCATAGGTTCGCCATCGCTGCTGTAGAGCCTTGAGCAAATTAACTTCTCTGGCTTCAGCTTCCACACCAGTAAAATGAGCTGATGAGGCCCATTGCCAGGCTTGCTGACAGGATTAAGTATCCAAGGTTACAACACACAGTGGGCACTCAATAGTTGGTGACTATCCTTGGGATTTTCCTCATTAAGAGGTCAGGGCTCCCGTGGCTCACAAGGAGCCTCCTGGTCTGAGGGTGGGGCTTCTGGGAGGAGGGCTCTGGCTCGGCTGTGCAAGAGCCAGAGATAAAGAAGCAGGGGTCTGAGGAGCAGCCACAGGCCTCACAGATGCACAGGGTCTCACTACTTCCCTTCCAACCTCCCCCCCCACCCACACATACACACACAGGGCTGGGCCAGCATGATTCTAGTCACCTGAATCCATTGCGCACATAACACACAAGCACATCTTGCTGGTGCATGTTTTTGTGCATGGATGCACATGTGGGGCCCATGTTGGTGTGGGGTTAAGTATGTGCGTGTATGTCAGGAGTTGTGTGATGCAATGTGTGTCTGAGGGTTGTACAGGTGTAGAGGAGGCATAGATAGGTTTGTGAGTGTTTATCTGAGTTGAGCAGGCTGGCCTCTAGCTCAAAAAGCAAATTCAGCCTGCCAGGGTCCCTGAAGGAGTAATTAAAGCAAGACCAGGGGGGAGAAAGAGACCCTGCTGACATTAGTGCATTGGGAGGTTTTTAGTGTGCAATTAAGTGCATAAATGCTGCATGTGTGCACGCACACATGTGCGGGCCTTTTCCAGACAGGCCAGCTCTCTCCCTGTCCCACACTGACATCCTGCCCCAAGTCATCTGCCTCTCCCCAGAACAGGGCCGCTGGAGTGGGCAGGCTGGGGTTGGTCCAGTCCAAGGCCTGGGAACTCCCAGGAGTTCCTTCCTGGCTCTGCTTCCCAGCCCTGCCCCCAGCTCACTCAGCCTGCTGGGTCAGCTCGGGCTGAGCCTGGGGCTCTGGCAGGTCCCTGCAAGGACATGAGTTATCTGTCCTTTCATGTAAGGATTTCCACAGCTCGGAGAAGGCTCCTCTGGGACCACAGTCAGGCCTCATAGAAGAGATGCACCCGGGCTAGTATCCCATGAAGGGACCCTCAGTCAATCCACTCCTACCTCTGGGTCCCTGAGGGTCTGGTTCATTGTGGATGTGCTTCTCCCATAGGCAGGTCATCTCTAGGCATCTCTGTCCCAGCACATCTTGCTGGTGCATGTTTCTGTGCATGGATGTACATGTTGGTGTGTATAAGTGTGTGCTGTGTATGTCAGGAGTTGTGTGATGCGATGTGTGTCTGAGGGTTGTACAGGTGTAGAGGTGTTGATAGGTTTGTGAGTGTGTGTACGTTGATGAGTAGACAAGGCATGGATCCTAGAGCAAGTAAGCCTGAAACATTGCTGGAGGCAAAAATGACAAAACCAAAGCTGTCCTACTTTGGGCACTTCATGAGAAAGCAGGGTTCTTTGGAAAAAGCAATAATGCTGGGAAAAATAGAAGGCAGCAGGAAAAGAGGAAGACCAAATATGGATTGACTCCATAAAAGGAGCCACAGACATGAGCCCAGCTGAGCAGAGCTATTGAGGACAGGACATCGTGACCATCACTCATTTACAGGAATCACCAGGAATCAGAGCGAACTCAATGGCACATAACAACAGCAATGAGGCATGACTGTGGCACATGTATGGGGTGTGTGCACAGGATGTGCCTATGAGGCACAGGTGTGGGACAGGTAATTGGGATGTGTCTATGGGCTGTGTATATGGGGCATATATAGGAGCATGGGGACATGCATGTGGCATGGATGTGAGATACATGTGAGCTGTGTGTGAGTTGGATGCGTGTGTGTTATGTGGATGTGTGCAATGGGTTCAGGTGACTGGAAACTATTCTGCTGAGAGACAGATGCTGGAGATAAAACTGGGTCACATCCTTCAAGATAGCCTCAGCTGCTATCTCTGCAGCCTCCCCTACTCCCTTCTCACCCCCCACCAGTGCCCTGACCAGGTTGGAAAATGTGGAGGGGCCTCTGCCCCAGGCCTCCAAGGATAGCTCGCCACACACTTCTTGGGGGTAAGGGTCCTCAGGCCAGGACACCCACTAGGGGGACAGTCTGAATGCTTCCTGGACATAGTAGGTGCCCAGTGTAAGATGGAGGGACAATGGGTGGTGGGTGATGACTTACAGTGACCTGCCAAGGACAGAGAAAAGGCATATGTCTAAGGCTACAGCGATGGCTAAAGGGGCAGGGCTGCCCTCTGCCCTGCCCCAAACCCTCCTTTGTCCCTTTGCTGACATTCTCATCTTGTTTCCATCCCATCTTCTTTCACTCATTTTCTCTCCTCACTCTAGCATTCCCTCTCCTGGGCATTAATTATTTTTTCTTAAAATATGATATGCACCCAGAAAGTGTAGAAATCTTCCATATACAGCTCAATTAATTTTCACAAATTGAACACATCCATGTACCCAGCATCCAGATCAAGAAACAGAATATTACTAGCCTTCCTGTACCCTTTCTAGTCACCACCTCCCAAGGATAACCACTCTGACTTCTAACACTGTAGATTAGTTTTGTCTAATTAGTCATTTTTAACCCCTGCACCTGAGTCCTTCCCAACTCAGGAGCAACATTAACCCTTTCCTGAATGTGAGAGGTGAGGTGAAAGCAGTGTGGTCATGCTATCTGTCCCCACTTCCCTACCCACTGACGGCAGGCAAAGGATGAAGGACCTAGCTGGCCCTCATCACAGACACCTGTCAAGAGTCTCCACAGCCCCTGCTTGAGTGTTTCAGGGCTAAAATCCATAGCTTGACAATGAATAACCTCTCTATATAAAAGCTTAATATGCAGTGTCCCCTCCGGAGCTCAACCTACTGGGAGTCTGATTGCTCGCTATGACATGCGCTGACCACCAGGGGGCGGTGGGGAAGGAAGGAAGGCCCCAGCAGGCAGCCGCTAGGGACCCTCCCTACCCGTGCACAAATTTCATGCACTGGGCCTCTAGTTAATTTATATAAGTGTGTTAGTTAGGGCAATGTTAGCTGCTATAACAAACTCTAAAATTTCAGTAACTTATCACTACTTATTATTTCTCATTCTATAACAGTCTTATGCTGATGTTCTTGGTCAGCAGGCAGCTCTTCTCCATGTGATGATACAGGTACCCAAACTCCTTCCATCTTGTGGCTCTCTCTCCCCTCCCCAGGGCCTTGTAGTTTTGAGCATCCTGCCAACAGACAGGAGAAGAGGACAAAGAGGGCCACCTGCTCTTTAGGTGGCTTTTCCAGGAAAATGTCACTTCTGCCTATATTCCATTGGTGAGAATTAGTCACATGGTTTATATACGTGCAAGGAATGTTGGGAGATATAGTCCTTGGATGGGCATTCATGTCCCATTGACAATTCTCTTCTCAGGAAGCAGAGAGTGAACATTTGGTGGGCTTCTCTGTCACTGTGGGCCTCATAGGGAGGGAGAGCTCACAAAGGACACAATCTCTTCGCTCTGCCTCTACCTTGCTGGGAGGGCAGAGTTCACTGACTCAGTGCCTCATTCACTTATCCATTTGAATGACTTCTCACTCATTCATTAATTTGCAAATTCATTTACTCATTTTCCCCACATCTTTACAACACTATATCCACGTTCTGTGTACACACATCCATACGTATATCTACACCTCCTATATACCCTGTCAAGAACTAAGCGGCAGAGTAGCTCCACTGGCCAGAGTCACACACCCACCATGTGGACAGCTCACGGTGGGCTCTGGGGTCCCAAGAGGTCCAGGGGGAGAAGGGGACATATGAAGAGCTGAGGAATTGGCAATCTGGTTCTCTAGGAGGTCTGTCCCTCCTGTAGGATCCACATTCGAGGGCCTGAGTGGATTCGAGCCTCAGGGAGGAGAAGGAGCTGTATGCCCTGGTCATGGCAGGGGCCAGGGCCGCAGACTTGGGAAGTAGAAATAAGACCTATGCACAGCTCTGAGGCCAGTGGTTCAGGGGGCAAGCTTGGCTTTGAGTCAGCCAGATTGTGGCTCAAGTCATTGGCCAGGTCACCTATGGATTAGGGGGCTATGGGCAGCTCTGAACCTCGCTGACCCTCAGTGATCTCATCTGTGAGATGGACAATGATCCTCAGCTCATGGGCTCATTGTGAGAATTAGAGGTAATGAGGATGAGCATAATCTCTGGGATACGGCAGAGTTCAAAGTGGGCCACTCTCACTCCTGGGTCCAGACTAAGGGGAACCTGGGTCTGTGGGGAATTTAATTCCAAGTCTCCCGAGTGTATAATCCCCCAACTCCAGCCAGGGATGGCCTTGGGCCAGGGTGGGGCTAAACCATTGCCTCAGTTGTGAGGCCTTGGGTAGGGGAGGGAATTCCCATGTAAAGTCCTAAGGCAGAGCAGGCAGAGCCCACAATCTCAGAGTATAGCCCCTTCCTCTCTTCCACCACTTCCCCTGGTCCCAGCAAAAGCTTCCTTCCTTCACATTACATCCCAGAGATCTGCATCTTCCCAAAGGACCCGAATGAAGGCGATGCTTAAACCGGAGCAATGGCCCCTTAGGGTAGATTTACAAGTTGAGAGGAAAGCAGGAGACCTAAAGGAGGAGCGAGCCTAGGGGAGGTGAATAGGGAAGGCTGCCGCCTCTGCTCATTTTTTATTAAAGATCTGCTTCAAGGTCAGTCCTGCCCGTCTGCCACAAGGGACTCCTCAATTTCCCAGGCTCTGCAAAGAGAGAGAGAGAGGCTGCAAGGAGAGGAAGGAAATGGAGAGGAAGAGGCCTGGGGTGGGCCAGGCAGAGAGGCACAGAGAGGAAGAGACAGTGTGGTTCTCGAACATAGTGTGGGCCCAGCAGAGTGCTGGACTCTGCGGGGGCACCAGGGTGACAGGGAAGGGAGTGCGGAGAGAGAAAGGACAACAGCAGGGAAACACTGATGGATTGGACCAGGGGCAAAGAGTGAACAATTAAGATATCGGATGGGGAGAGGGATATAGATGCCAGGTTTTATTATTTTCCAGGTAAAAAGACACCAGAACATCACTGGCCTTTCCCCTACATCACCAATTCACTGCAAGCTATGGCAGTGAGAAGATCTATAATAATTAGAAAAGGAATACAACCCTCAGAGACAGAAAAACTGAGGCTCAGTGAGGCTTTCCCAACACCACACAGCTAGTCAGCAGCAAATCTGGACTTTGGGCAGGGGAACAGCCCCAGGCTGTTGAGGAGTATGAGTTCTAGTGTAAACGAGGGCCATAGCATCAGTTCTGCAATTTCAGGAGGGACTGTGGGTCCAACTCAAAGAGTACGACTACAGAGATACGGCACATTAAAGACGGCCACCAATTCCTGGCCCTTCCTCCCATTAAGAGATGGAATCTATGTCCCGCACCTTTCAATATAAGTGGGGGAGTGCAATTTTAAATCGAACAGGCTCTGTAACTGCTTTAACCAATAGAAAATGGGGAAAGTGATGTGTGTTTTGAGTTCTGGCTTTAAGAGATTAGCAGCTTCTAATTCCCCTCTTTTGGAACAGTTGCTTCCAGATCCCTGAGCTGCCATATGAGAAGCCTGACAACTCAGCTGGTGACAGCACAAGAGGAGGCCTGAGACAACCTGGAGAAGGCAAGAAGGAAAGCTGAGCCCAGCCCTCCAGCCATCCCCACCAGAGCCCAGACCTTCCAATCCACAACCATTAATCAGCTGAAAACCATCAGGTGATTCCATTTAATGCTTCATGGAGCAGAAGAGTCACTTAGACAAGTCCTGCCCAAATTTCTGATCCACAAACTTGTGAGATATAATAAAATGGTTGTTGTTTTGAGTCATTAAGTTTTGGAATATTTGTTACGCAGCAATAGATGGCCATTAGAGTAGGTCTGGAGAGCACTCAGACACCATTACATTTAACAAGCACTTAAGGTGGTTCTGATGCAGAGAGTTGAGGAAACACTTTGAGAAGCACCGGATGAGAGGGAATGACTTCAAAGCCAAGTGCCCCCGAGGTGTGTGTCTACCTCACATTATACAAAAATATAAATGGAAAGAGACAGGCAGAGCCAGAGAAAAAGAGAGCAGAGCAAATTGAGGGGTGGAGAGGGAGGAAAAGGGGTGGAGGAGGAGGACAGACAATAGCTTCGAGACAGACAAAAAAACCAGACAACTCAATTCAACAAGCAATGATTCTTGCCTCCCCTGTGCTGGTGTTGGATACATGGAGGTAGCCATGACCCAACCCTGCCTTCATGAAGTTCATATCCTAGACACAGGGTGGCACAGAGAGAGCGTGGCAGAGGTAGGGCAAAATAAGAGAGTAAGAGCAGAGCTAATTCTGAGGTCAAGGTCACTATAAGCCACTGTCTGGGCCTGGGAACTCTGGTGAGTGAAGACACCAGCCTGGCTTGGCCAGGTGTCTCATCACAGGGTCTTTCCTGCCCTTGCCTCTGAGCATGAGGCCCCTGGCAGAGATGATCAGGCAACAGGGGGTGGAAGGATGGGCACCTGGAAAGGGAGTTGGCCCTGGAGCTGAGTGTTGAAGGACATGGAAATAGAAAAAGGTGCTGCAGCAAATATAAAGGCTAGTGGGAGATACAGCGTTGGTTGGTGGGTGAGGAGACAGGGAAGGCGGACAATGCCAAATTTAGTGACAGATTGAAGGCAAGTGAGTCGGGCTATGGGAGAGCTTGAATCGCTCTAGGTGCAGGGCTCTGAATCAGACACTGAGTCTCATGCCTACTTTGGAAAGGTTTATTTATGGCACTATTGTTCCATAAAGGTTTATTTATGGCAGAATGTAAGACAGACAACATTTTGGGTGGTGAAGCTAGGCAGAAGATGGATTGAGAAACCATCAAGGGAAGCATTTAGACATTCAATCAACAAATATTTACTGAATACCTACTATGTGCTGAAACTGGGAATACAGCAGTGAGCAAAGTCTAGAGTGTGAAGAGAGAGAGAAAAAAACCCTAAGTAGATGGGTAATATGACAGATTGCAATAAGATAAAAATAAGGGAGGTACTCTGCAGAAGCTATACAAATGGCAAGGTACACACAAAAAGGTGCTCAACATCATTAGTCATCTGGGAAAGGCAAAACAGAACCAAAATGAGACACCAAGTCACACCTATTAGGATTACTATATTTTCAAAAACAATAGAAAATTATATGTGGTGATAAGGATGTGGGGAAATTGAAACCCTTTTGCATTCCTGGTGGGAATTACAATGTTATAGCTGCTATGGAAAATGGTATGGTGGTTCCTCAAAAAATTAAGGACATGGAAATTCCACTTTTAGGTATATACCTTAAAGAATTAAAAGCTGGGACTCAAACAGATATTTGTACACTATGTTCATAGCAGCATTATTCACCATAGCCAAAAGGTGGAAACAATCCACATGTTCATTGATAGATGAATGAATGAATGAATGAATGAATGAATACACAACATGTTGTCTACCCATATCATAAAATATTATCCAGTCTTAAGAAGGAAAAAAGTTCTATCACATTCCACAACCTGGATGAACCTTGAGGATTTTATGCTAAGACACAAAAAGGCAAATTCTGTATAATTCTGTCTATATGAGGTACTTAGAGTAGTCAAATTCATAGATATAGAGAGAAAAATGGTGGGTGCCAGGGGAGAAGAGATGGGAAGTTAATGTTTCATGTGTGCAGTTTCAGTTTGAGTTTGGGTGATGGCTGCACAACAATGTAAATGTACATTTTAAATAGTTAAAATGGTAACTTTTATGTGTACTTTACCACAGTAATTCCTTTAAAGGAGTGAAAAATAGTGTTGGGCGAGGAGATGCTGTTTTATATGGGGAGGTCTTGGAAGGGTTCATTTATCAAGTGCTATTGGAGTAGAGATGTGTGTTCCAGGAGACAGTAAACGGGGAGGGGCGGATACTATGCAGGGGACCAGGACCAAGCAAGGCCTGGCCCAGGCAGACACCATGGGGAGGGGGCTGAAGAGGAGGGACACTTCCAGGAGGTGGAAGGTCTGTAGGAAGAAGGGGGAACTGGAGGACTCAAGGTCTCACAGAGTTCTGACTTGAGACTAGACTTAAAGAAGGAGGGTGGATGGACCAGGGGCCCATAATGAAGTAGACAGCCCCTCCACAGTTTACTTGGAGATTGATGAAGGGACTCTGCACAGAGGTGTGGGTGGGGATATGAGAATGGAGCAATAAAGAATAGACGTGTAACAGTGGGAACTGTTACCACCTCTAGGCCTGAGGTGCCACAGGGAAGAAAAAAAATGACAGAACTTGGCCAGAAGACCTGGAGCTATGGACAAGGGGCTATTGGACCAGAGTTGGAGAGGAGCTCAGCAAGGGAATAAATACCTAACTTCTCTCTCCTCCCACCCTTCATTCTCCTGGTGATGCTTCTCCTCAGATGAATCCAACCAGAAGTCAAGAGTAAGGGAGCCTGGGGAACCTGTCTGCAGAGGTCAGCTTCCCAAGGCCCAGAGCAGGACATTGGGGAAGAGACTCCGAGGAGCAAACAGAGAAAAGCCAGCACAGATGGTGATGCCATTCGTTGAAATGAGTAACGCAAGGGAAGGAGCCCTTTTTAGAAAATTAGCAGGCCGATAGGGAAACCAGGATAGAGGTCTATTCCTCTGAGCCAGGGCCAGGGAGTGCAAGGGGTGAGAGTGTGACGGGGCTCTGCCTCTCATGTGTGGTAGAATAGATGGCCCAAGGAAGGTAGGAAAGCTTGCTTCCAGCCAGCTTGTAGGGCCCTCTCTCCTCCCCTGAAGCAGCTCCCACTGTAAAGCTGGGGGGTGGAGCAGGGGCTTCAAGAGGCAGATGAGGGGGAGGGCAGGAGGAGGTATGCCTAACTGGGGCAACGTATTCCTAGGCATAGTCTCAAACATAGGCCAGGGCTTGGCAGAAACCAAATCAGTGTGGTGAGGTTTAAAGCCAACTTGACTTAATTTAAGAAATGGGCTTCACTCAGAGAGGATACCCTCCCTGCACCTTCTCTGGCCTCCCCCACACCCTCTCCACACACCCAGCCACAGATAACCAGGCAAGGAAAGGCCTACAGGCCCTCCAGGGGCCCTTCCCCAGCCCTTGATCTGCTGACTCCCTGATCAGCCGGGCAAAAGGGGCAGCCCCTCCCAAACAGGGGAACAAGCACACTGGTGCTAGGCCAGCCCAAGGAAAACCCCAGCAGATGAAATATTCATGCAGCCAGAAGGCAGGAGACCAGCAGAGGACACGCTACTGGGGCTATGGGGCTGTGGTAATGGCAGTAGCAGCTGTAGCCCATCCCTCTCCCACATCCCAAGCTTTGTTCTGCAGACTGGGTTGGGCCTGCAGTATCAGGATCACACACACACACACACACACACACACACACACACACACTCTGAAGAAGCATGTGAGGGTGGGGTAAAGAAACTTGGGGGGAAAAGAGAGAGGAGAGGAGGAGGGCACACACAGACTCCAGACACGGACAGACAGTCACACACAGTTATACATATAAACAGATGGGCACACATGCACATAAACCCACACAGACTCACAACAAACATACACTCGACCCAGGGATGACTCTCAATGTCATATAAATGCCTTCTTAAAAGCTGCCTCACTTGCCTCACCCTCCTCCCAGCCCTGCTCATGCCCACTCAGGTACTTCCAGCCCTGCTTGCCGGGGCAGGGAAGCTTCCAGGGGGACACCACTGGTGGGCTCCAAGCGAAGGCTTCCACATTCCTGGCTGCCATTAGGGAAAGGTTTCTGGGCTCCCAACTCCCACTGGGAGCCCGCCCCTGAATTTCTGCCTCTCAGCCAGCTCACTCAAGGAAAGGGAGGCAGGAGCCACAGAACAGACAGATCATCCAAAATCAGGAACAGTAACCGAAGGGTGACTTGAACTCAGGACTCCAGACGCCCAACCGAGTGAGCACTACGGAAGGTCGGAAGGTCGAGCGACTCCAGTCTCAAAATTCCTCTCCTCCATTGAGACGTCCTCCACTAGCAGCACACCCGACCTCAGTCCGGCCACCAGAATGCATGATGAAAGGGGTGCTCCGGAGGCGATTCACTGGTGGGCCCTCTTAGATATCTGCTGTGCAGTGTCCTAGCCAGAACTCAGCATCCCGAACTTCACTCCCGGTCCAAATAAATAACCTCCCTTGCTCCGGATGCCTCTCGGGTCTGGCGTGCCCCGACCCGCAAGGAGTGGAACAGAGGTCCCTGAGTGGAAATCCCCCAGTGCCCCATTTCTCGCCACTGCTGCGAGGTGGAAGGGCCTCCACACCTACAGAGGGCGCTGTGGGCGCCAGTCGCTCTGGCCGGCCGGCGGGCAGGGAGGCCGCCTCCATGGTGGTGCGCTG